TCATCGTTTTAGAAAGTCTCAGTTTTTACTGTCCACACTGCGAAGTGAAAGCACAGCTTTCAAATGTATGCGTTTTCGAGAGCGTTTTGAAAATGCTGTGTTTTACATCAGCAAAAACGCCGTCTCAGTGTGGGCAGGAGGCCAAAACAGAAAGAAAACAATGCGTTTTTACGATGCTTTAAGGACCATTTGTGAAAACTGCATTGAAACGCTGGTGTTTACAAGTCTTCTGTAAGACAGACTGCAGCTACCTAAGAATTTGGGTAATTGTCTTCAAAAAGTCCCAGAGACACCTTAAACACTGTTTTAATCCAGTCTTAATCCAGCCATGACTGAACACATTATGTTATAGCGTGTGAGTGTGGGCTCCTGGAAAAAATAAATATTGAATATTGAATGAAATATTATTGGATGGACAATAATACGACCCTCTGCTGGGGAGGTATATGCTGCACAAGCAATATTTCACAATCTGTCCACAAGAGGGCGCTGTAGACCGTAAATTTGCCTCCATTTTGTGAGGTTTGCAAGTTTTCCAGTAGTAGCGCACAACTATGGCAATACTTCCAACAGCTATAGAGTCGAACGGCCATGTAACTTATTGTTTTTACAGCTTGATGCTATTAAAATAAACCACAAAAGCAATCTTAGTGACATAATATCAGGAGTTCTATAAATAATCAATTAAAGAGATATTTAATCTTAACATTTGCAACCAGTTATAACCAGCATCATGATATTTAACCTGACAAACATATAACATTTACAGATTTATTAACATGCAACTCAATCACAAAAACCTTTATTACAACGGTGACACTGTGACCGCTCCATTAAGATACCAGATGCAGAGTGCTGCTGACCACCGGCATAAAGTTCCTTTGGCGTGCTTGGCATTGTGTTTAGACAGCCCAAGGCTTAATCAGAGCAGGGAGATTTACACAGTGTGTGTCAGTGTGATGTGTTGTAGTTTCAGGAGTCAGTATGCAGCTACGAAGCTTTTTGCAGCATGCAGAGACTCACAGTGTCTTATAATGAGAGGCTGCTTTCTCTCACACATTATGTTCACTTATTATCAGCACGTGTGTTTCTATCGATCTGTGGTCAGTGAAACATCTGTGATTTTGATCTGGTTAGTTAAGTAACAGGGTTTGTCAATCAGTTTTAGCTGCATTGTGTTAATTTGCAGCTCTGACACTGTGCCCCTGTCAGTGCACATGAGACGGATGTAAAAAGGTCTGCAGAATCTGTAGAGAATGTTATTTATTGTTCAGCATGGCCGCTTTGTGTTACTTTATGCGCTGATTCTAAAGCTGTTAGTTTGATCTCTCTCCAAACAATATTGACTGAACCAGCAGCAAAAGAAGATCCAAACTATGCTTCACAAAAACATCGTCATGTATTCACTCTGACTTTTACTGTTTTGCTTCGACCACGATGCACAGCTCTCTCTCTCTCTCTCTTCAAGAACAGTTTCCCGTCTAAAAATCTGTTTTCTGCATTATTCGCTTGCTTGTTACGCACAAGTCTACCGTTGTTTACAGCGCTGTCGGCCGACGTTTTTTTTTTTTCATTTTATATACTTCCGAAAAGAAAACCTAAAAGTCTTGCGTGTGTCAGCTTCCTTTTTATAGATACAAAAAATATGTAAATGTAATGATCTGAATGATAATATTTCTGACTGTCAAAATTTCCCAGATTCAAATCGAATTAAATTGAATCAGAATTGAATCGATTCTAGAAATCAGTGACGATACCCAGCCCTAGTTTGCAGGACCCTGTAACTGTCTCCTGGCCTGCCTTGTGTGGTGGGACAACTCAGCTTTGGGACCATGGGGGTACATGTGTAACTGTGGATGGATGGGTGGAGCAGCTTATTTTTTGGGGCAGAACTTGAGTCAGGAACTGCTGGTATGCCTCAGTGGGCATTCATTGACACTGCTAAGATGCAATGTTGTGGGAAGTGGGGAAACCATCCTCCCTACCATGGTGAAGCTTTAGACCAGGGGTCCCCAATTCCAGCCCACGAGGGCCGGTGTCCTTCAGGTTTTAGATGTATCCTTGCCTCCTTACCTTCTGGGAAACCAACTGATCAGGACAGGAGAGTTTCAGCTCTGACAGTGAACAGGGCTTTCTCAGGCAGATTCTACTGGACTTTAATGACTGCTTCTCCTTCTCAGAGGTTGATATGTGCTGGACTGACCTCATTCAACATGATATTGACACTGAAGATGCACAGCTCATTCGGTTGAGGCCTAGCCTGTCCACTGCCTGACCAGGCTCTGCCAGAGGTGCAATGGGCTGGCCTCATTGAACCATCCACCAGCCTCTGGGCCTCTCTTGTCACTATGGTGACAAAGACATTGAAGGATGACTTGCAGTTCTGTGTAGATTTCAAGGTTCAAGGTTCTTTATTTATCACATGCATAGTTATACAAGTATAACACACAGTGAAACCTGATCGGCTCCTCGACTAGACTCGATTTTGCAGAAGACAATATAAACATATATATATTTAAAGGAATTTGAAATGTACATTGTGCCGGTGGGTTTAGAGTGTCTGGAAGAGAGTCCTGTCTCAGTCAATTATAGATTATGTGAGAGGGTGTGTATGGGGGGAGGGGGGGCGGGGGGTTAGCCATCTGGGCCCTCCCCAGGATGTGATGGGGGAGGCCAGGCCATCAGCCATATCAAATGCTCCCTGGAGAGGGTGGGTAGGTGTATCTCTGACAGCATCACCACCAACATGGGAGCACCACAGGGGTGCACACTCTCGCCACTGCTGTACAGATACCTTACAATTTTAGCAAAGTACAATCATAATGTATTTTTATTTGTTTGGAGATGGGTCCTTCGTAAGTGTACAAAATGAGATATAAAGAAAAGCTGAGTCTGTACAAACTCTGAAATGAGAGGAAGTATGTCTGTATGATGCACCCAAACAGTTCATGTGCAGCTTGCTAACAAAGCTTTTGTGTGTAGTTGGAGTGCTTTGCTCGGTCCCACCTGAGAGAGTATTAGGGCCACATTTAAAGAATAAAGTCAAAATTTCAACATTAAAGTCAAAATATGAATATTACAGTTGTTTCAAGACAAACTGCTATGATTGCTGTAGTGTAGTGAAATCATATTTCAGAATCAGTTTTACTCAAAATGAAGGAAATTATCTATTGTTTAGTGCATAAAGACAGTGTGGTGATCAGTATAAGGACTTTGAAAAGATGGTGTTGAAAGATGTGGTCAAACCAACAATTGTATAAAATGAAATAGCTAGCAGTGGACAGATAAAGGCTTGGGGAAGGTTACACCCCCATGTGATACAACATAATTCCTCTCAGATTTATGCTGTATCACAAGATGACTGATTAATTTGTTTCACTAAGTCACCAGAACAGGTCATTTTGAAGACTAAGGAAGTTTGTCAATTTCAAGAAAAAAAGTCACTTTTTTTACTCCTTCATACCTTTTTCCTCTGTTCTCCATTGAAATCACATTCAAGTTCAGGAGTAACATCATTTAATTTTGTTCAGAGCACATCAATACAGCTTTCCACTCAATGTTTTATTTTAAGCTAACACGAAACAATAAATAATTACATTTGTCTATCTGCTGCAGGTGCATGATGTGCATAATGAACTCACATGAAGTATAAAAAATACATAAAACAAAATATGTACCCAGCCCCATCAGAAAGTAAGTATAATTATACTGTAACAACTGATCAATACATGAGAATCACTTTGTGTGCTTCAAACTTCACAGAACACGTTTGATCTTACAAACAGCTGAACCTGAAGATCAGACCCATTCAATGATTCTGATTCTGTAACATACAAGGCACTGCATTCATGAATACTGGGGATAACAAACAGTTATTTTTATATCAGTGGATGTTGAGCTTTTTGGACAGTTGAGTCAAACTGAACACCTTCTGTGGAAAAAAAATGATATATATTTCACTTATTTTAAGAATTTTTTAAGAATTTCTCTCTTTTCTTTTCTTTAAAACATGAACAAACCGTTCCACAAAACAACAAGATGTAAATGAAAAGAACACAACATGTTACTCTGACATGATCAGCTAATTTGGAAAGATTTGTTGCTCCTTGTCCCCAACTTCTGTTCTTCTTGATTTTATAATCACTTTTTTTTGTCTTACTTGAGGCAAAGTGAAAATATTGAGGGAATGATGTTCACTCCTCTGTTATTTAAGCCCAAGCACAGCTTATTTATCAAACCATCGTCCATCCTCTGAAACCTCTTTGGAAACGTGTGATTCTTCTGGTTTTCTACTTTAACATTATTGTTTTTGTTTTTTTAGTCAGACATTATCCTTCTGTTTGATTTAGCAATGCAGGCTTCTCTGACTCTGTATGAGACACTGAGCCATTTCCATGCTGTAGATCATCGGTTTGCTGGCATGAATTCTGTCTGTGTTTGGGTTGACATTTTTTGTAGATCACAAAACCAACAACAGCAGCAACAAGAAGCACAGTAGAAACTGATAAACCAACTTTCAGTCCAACAGATCCATCCTCTGTGTCTCCTCCTGTCTGACCTGCAGGTGAGAAACAGGTGTGAGGTGTCAGCTGTCAGGTAGGTGATGAGTGAAGAACAGAACAGAATCCATTTCCTCTTCAAACTGCTGTCAGACATTATCTACTGCACTCTGATCACATCACTCAGACCAGCTGCTTTCTACAAAGTCTCATCAACAACATCTTTAGAAACAAACATCAACAACCAGGAAGCAGCTTCACCTCTGATCACACACACACTCAACTCTACTCACTCACCTGGAGGAACAACTGAGGTGATGATGCTTGGATCACAGTCAAATATCTCTCTTCGCGGTTTTTCCTGCGACACGACACTCGTATGTTCCAGTGTCATTAATCGACACATTCTTCAGAATCAAAGACACGTCTCCATCCTTCATCTGACTGTCCTGCAGATCCACCCGGTTCTTAAAAGATGGATGCTGGTTGTCTGGATCAAACTGCTCATTCCGATAAAAAAGCACATATTCATCTCTCAGGTCAGCTCTGTTCCACTCCACACCTAAGATGATGTTATTTTTCGGAGCTCGACATGTCAGAACGATGTTCTGTCCAGACTCAGCTGTGATGTTTTTCTGGTCTGAAAGAGGAAACAACACAGAGCAGAGAGGTTATATTACACATTGTTCACACTGAGAGTTGCTGTGTTCAGTGATGCTGAACAAAATGAGAGCTGTTATCATTGAGAGGATGATGAGAAGATAAAGGTGCTGCTGAGCTACAGAAAGTGAAATCTAAGTGGAGGAAAAAATGTTTGTTCCAGCTATCATTAAAGTGAAAAATGCTGCAAGCACATTTAGTGCCACTGCACACCCTCCCTCAGCAGATCTAACTTTAATTATATTCCTGCTGACACCAAAGTGTCTTTTCTGTTTTTTCTCTCCTTTTTACAGTTGGGAACATTTTTCAAAAAGCCAGAATCTCCTATTTCCATAGCACAGGGTTAGATTTACCCATCACCTTCAGTAGAAACCTCAGAGGGTTAAAGCAGTGCTGTTTGTAACAACCAAAGAGCTCATTGTATATAACAGCAGCTGTTTTATAAATATACTGCTCAAAGATATTAAAGGAAATCTTTTAAAACACATCAGATCTCAGTGAGGAAATAAACAAAGCTGACATCTACACTGTTATGCTTTGGGTAAAGTGTTAAGAACAAAATGATGGGAAGTTCTTAACTTACAGGGGGCTGAAGTTAAAAAAAGACCCCCAAAATTAATTGTATGAACTCAAAATGGTACTCAGTAGTTTGTATGACCTCCACGTGCTTGTATCGATCTCTGACCACATCGGGGGATGCTTCTAATGATTGTGTCCTGGTGAAATTCCTTCTCTGTTATAGGTCAGGGGATGAAGCTTGTCATCTAATTGGAAGGTTGTTGGTTCGATCCCTGGCTGTTCTAGTGTGCATGCAAATGTGAATGGGTGAATGAGGCATGTTGTATAAATACTCCTCAGAGTAGAAAGGCACTAAACAAGAAACACTCGATTTACCATATCCAACACTGAGCTCCTGCAAAGTCAGAGAGTGAAACATGATGTCCCAGAGCTGTTCTGCTGGATTAAGCAGGAAGGCGTGGGGCCAGTATAAATTCTTTCTTCCTCCTCCAGCAGCTGCCTGCATACTCTCACCACCGCATTGTTGTGCACCAGGACAAACCAAGGACCCACTGCACCAGTGTAGGGTCTGACAGTGAGTCCAAGAATTCCTCTTGATACCTAACGCCAGTCAGGGTGCTGCTGACTAACCTGCAGAGGTTTGTGCATCCGTCAGTGGATATGATCTCCATGACCATCACTCACACACCACCAAACCAGCA